AAGTTAAGTGTAAGGCCATTTAGGGTTGCACTTGATGGGCTAATCTTGCATCTGCACACAGTCCTTGGGGTTTTATTAGATGGCTTGGCCCAGGGACCACTTAGTGTAAGTGTTGGGCCCATAGAGTCCATGTGATGGGCTCAAGGGGTTCACTGGACTTTCCAGTGAATTCGGCTAGACCTTGTAACAAAGGTTGGGCTGAACCCATGTGGTTGATGTGTAGATCAATGCTTAGGTCCCACGTCATACAAAGAAGCCCAACTAGGCAGCAGTTTGGAAACTTATTGAGCACTGATTACTTATTGGGCCTAAAGCCCATTTCGGCCTGGGCTGATATGATCACCCACTTAAGAGGGCATATCTAGGAATAGGGTTAACTAAAGGATTAGGGTTCTAACTCTATCCACTCTTGGAGACCAAACTCAAATGTGATTTGAATCTGGTAACCTCCTGATAAGATCAGGAGTGGGTTGACCTAATCTGTAGATAGCATTAAGATTATCCCCTATCCAAATACTGATTTGGATTGGGATAACTCCTAATAGGATTAGGAGATTTCTTAATCACTAAGAAAGGAGGAAACCCTAATCTTGAATTACAAGAATTCGACCTAGGGTTTTGAAGTAACATCTTCTGCAATCTGAGATAGGATCTCTTCTTCCTAAGCTGAAATCTGCATCCACGCCACTTTCAGCCTTAGGAACTCCTCCAGCCGCCGCCACCTTATTGCTTGGTTCGAACTCCACTGAAGGGAAGATCAAGAAACTGGTTCTTGAGATCAGTCTTTGCTGAAAGACTAATTTGGTTCGGTGCTCTAAGCCTCCAACGGATTCTTGCGAAGAGTTCGGTACGTTGGACGTACACTGTTGGTTCAGCCCCACCATCGTTGTGTCATCTTCAGCGGGAGCAGATTTTGGATCTTTCTTTGGGCGTGAACACCGACATTGGGAGATTTTGATTCTCCGTATCAGGTATAACCCTTCCCTGATCTTTGGTTCAGATCTGGTTTGGTTTGGTTCGAGTAAATCCTTGAATATTTGATTCTAAAATAAGGGAATACGATTCCCAATTGATTGAAGGGAGAAAAATTTTTGAAATTTGCCCACTTATTCCAGAGATATGGGCTTAGGATAATTTAGTGCATGTAATAAACTGCTTCAATTATCTAAAAAGCATTAAGCTCAAATTATGGTGCATGTAATAAGATGCTTCAATTGCCACCACTCAACGAGAGTCATGGAAAAGCTATTCCAGGGAATGCAGGAGCAGGTTGATGCGGGACTGTGGGTGCTTCTACAGATCTTCTTGGGTTCGATTTTGCTATAGCACATACCAATCATGTAGTAAAAGGGATTAATTGCATTAGATATCGGTTTAATTCTCGAAAGGTAAAGAATTATTTTTGTTAAGACTGAACGCTGACGGGATAAAGACAGTTAAACCCTGCCACTGAGGGTTTGGGGCCGTAGTTGGTACAAAAAAACTCTGTAAATGGGCTGTAAGTCTGTAACTAAAATTGTAAATCCTGCCGGGACAATTTTGGTCCAGCTATGCCTGGCATGGCATGATGGGAGAAACAAGATTCAGTCAGACAAAGTCTATTCGAACAGCGATCATAACCTTGCATTGGGAATATCTTCTCATGAAATAAAGCATAGAAATACGGAGATATTTCCGATGCAAAGCTATAAAGGCAGTTCGAGCAGTGTTCAAACAGACTTTGCTCTGACAGAAGCCGATCTCATGATGGGATGGGCTGTGCTGAGCTTGGATTTTCATGGACTAGACCACATGATTAAGAAAACCATGCCAGCATGGCCTGGATAGCCTGTAGCATGGTGTGTGTGCGTGTGTGTATATGTATAAACAATTGTTATATTATATCATTTTATTATTGTATATATCAAAATTCATATAAAATAAAATTTTAAGATTTGTTTTCAATTTTATATTTATTTTAAATTTTCATTATTTTTAAATTTTTTGTAAAAATTATACCTCATGGCTTGGCTCAGCTTGATACAAGACTCAGCCTACAGGTCATCTCATCCTGCGACACAACACAATATGGCTCGGGCCATGGATTGTACTGTGCTGGATCTCTAAAATATTCCAAAAGTAATAAGCACGGGCCAACCTGGCCTGCAGACTAACATAGCATAGACTAACATAGCATAAGCACTAAAAGCATTGAGCATGGTCAAATTTACACCTCTAACTATAATTAAAATGGTCCCATTTACACCTCCAACCGTAATTGATACAGTAAATCTGATTCAAGATCCAATTTAATTATTTGGGATTTGAACATCTGTTAACTAAATTCAATGCAAAATTGACACATCCAATCCAAGGTATGCTGCCGGAAGACATTATACGAAGAAAGCTTTGACCAATCAAACCTCCTCCGTGAAGACTTTGACGGTACATTCTCAAATGAGAATCGAAATATGGATAGTGGCCGTCAAATCATACCATAAAGGCTACGCACCCACCACTATTCCCTAATGCTGATTACCTAACTAAACTTATATATGCATTTATCCTCTACTGCTTTGCATTTCCAACTTCCAAGCCTAACCTTATAAAACAATTCTCCATTTGCACTTCCGGACATTCAAAGATTCCATAAATCAACAATGACTATGTAGGTCTAGGTCTGACTTTTTCTTGGGCAAAATAGGAGTAAACTTTAATTAATGTTAGCAGAAACATTAAGTTCATTACATAGGCACATAGCTAATATTTATATTGTATTTACATGACCAAAAGGCGAAATAATGAACCAACGAGTAAAAGAGGGATAAAGAAAGTTCTATAACATGTCAAAGCACTCGAATTGGCTTTATTTTCTTTGCCTTCGATAGTTTAGTTTGAGTGTCCATGCTACCAGATTCCAGATTTCATGTTAATTAATGTCTACCGGCGGTTCGGACTGGATCGGACAGTTGGACCGAAAGAAGAGAGAACCGGTAATCTGATTTATTTCATTTCATCCCAAAACCGTTTTTTCGTTAAAACCATTGATTTGATAGTAAATTGCTGATTCAGGTGGTTAAATCATCGATCCAAATAAGGATTTTAAGCTGTTTTTAATTTTCTAGTCAGAATAGACTGTTTATTCGGACCAAATAATCGACCATTCGACCTGAGAACTGATCCCCAAAATAGTTCCCTGGATAAATTATGACACGGCTTTTGGAGGAAGTATTGCCATTCTCATTGATTGAGAAAAAAACACTAGGGGTCTACAGTTTTCAGCGGATCTGCACGATCTTTGAGAAGAGCAGGTGTCGTCTTGGCACATGAGATGGCTCTTTGCACAGAATTCGCATTAACACCCCACGGAGCACACCCATACGTGACCCACAGCCCATCCCAACCATTTATTAGAAACATCTCTCCAGGACATGACAAATACAGGAGATGTTTCCAATGCATACTGAAATGTGCATGTCTGGCACCAATCTGATCTTGAACAATCCAATGAGCCATAGAATTCAACCCAATGTTTATGTGGCATTTTATGCATGGTACTCTTTCAATCGGTGACAAAGTCATGAAGCGTGGGGTGAATTTGGTTTCAAAATGTTGTTGTGGTAGCCATAGAACCGAATCCTTTCATCACTTGTTTCTAGGTGGGGTTATGACTCAAAAAGTTTGGAATTTCTTCTATTGCTTATTTGACATACACATTAATCCCTCACAACATATTGGTGATTGGGTGAAAGCATGGTGGCATCAGTGCAAAGCTGACTCTCAAGTTGACAATTTAATAGCTATCACCCCATGTCTCATTCTTTGGATTATTTGGAATGATAGATACAAAAGAGTTTTTGAAAGAAAAGCTTCAACATCAAATGAGCTTATTTCAAAAGTGAATAAGTGGTTGATTGATATTAATGCCATCCAAAAACCCCCTCTCAATGCTAGCTGTAACAACCTTGTGCTCCAAACTCTTAATATTACAACCAAGGATGTTAGGCGAAGGAAAATTAGATGGATAGCATAAAAATTTCTTGTTATAAATTAAATATAGATGGTGCTAATAGGAGGAACCCAGGTGACACTGGTGAGGGTGGAATAATTAGGGATGCCTTGGGAGGTTTTTGCTTTGCTTTCTACAAATTCTATGAATATACTTCCTCCATTCAAGCTGAGTTTTTTACTCTTCTCGCTGGGTTGGACTTTTGTCTCCAACTTGGAATCACTGAATTAGAAAGAGTGACAATGAGTTGTTTATCAACATCATTAACGGGCCATCTCACCCATAGTCAATTGCCTACACGAAGGTTCAAAGTATCATTACGTATCGATCGATACGTATCATTGTAGGACCCTTCCGACACGCCCCTACAATGGATGCATCGAGGGTCTGACCAATTCAGGGGATGGAGGGATCCTAGACCAGCTCCCCTGAACCAGTTTTGAAAAAAATAAAAAAATAAGTATCAAAACACCCAATACGCCCCTATCGACGTATCGATATTTTGAATCTTGGCCTACACTTATATAAAGATCAAACGAACTCTTAGTAACATGATGTATTCTATTGGTCACTCATTGAGAGAAGGATATAGGTGTGCAGATTACCTTGCAAATGTGGGTGTAAATTTGAAAAACAATGCAACTTTTAATTCCGTTCTTCATACCCCGGCAAAGCCTATAAGGTTGTTGCATGAAGATTATGTTAATCTTCCCATTCTAAGAATTGGATAAATCTGATTGTAATTTTTTTAATTTCTTTGTTGGGGTGGATTTTAAGAGGGTGGTGATGAGTACTTTTTGTATTGGGCGTGGGGCAAGGCGGGGTATGTCCTCCCCTATATATTCTGATTTTCCATTTCATAATGGTTAATAATGTGAACACTCAATGAATGATGATTTTGACTGTTTATGCATAAAATATATAAAAAGAAAGGCAGGCCGTGAGATGTGAGAGAGAGAGAGAATTACTATTCACTCTTTTATTTAACAAAGCAAACGAACACCGCAGCAGAGGTTTAATGGTGGGTTACCCTTCACTCAAAAATATTTTTGTATATAGCTTTATACCAGAATATGACAAACAATATTACAAAAAGATACACAACCCCGATCAAAAAGGGAACACACCAACCATCTTTCCAGACATTTTAATGTCACGGAACTCCTAATATGCCTGTACATACCACTACCTTCCATGACAGTAATCATGATGATTACATTTCACACAGCAAAGAATTGAAGATAATTGACCCACAAATCTAAGAATGAAAAAATATGTAATGAAAAATGAGACAAGGGAATAATGGAATGCATGTATATTTGACATCAACTTACTAGGCAAAGGTGAAGATAATCATGAAATATGATCAACAGTGGATAATAAATGCCCTAAAATTATGTGGACGATTCCGAGCCGCACATATTGAGTATACAATAAAAATAAAAATAAAATAAAATAAAGCTACCAGAACAACTAAGACAGACGGACAACTTGAACAATGCAGGACTCAACACAAAAAAATTCAAAAAGAGGGGGAGGGAGATGAAATGATGCAAATCAATGAGAAAATTTTGAATATTCCCTCTTGGGATGTCTTTAAGTGCCACAACACCTGAACAGAGTTTTGGGTGTAATACAATCCAAACACCGAAGCCTTCGGTTGCTTGCGCATAGGAAGGCACCAGCTAATTGGGAGGGGTCTTAAGAAGATGCAATGTCAAATAGAACCAGTTCGGACATTGTGGTGGTAATGACAAAATAGTCAGAACCGTGTTCCCTCAACATTTCACAGCTCTAATCGCCGCTTCCCCAATTCCGCCCACCAACATTTTTTTTTTCTTTTTTACGGTTTTTATGTATTTCTTCCGTTAGGGGGAGGCTTAACCACTTCTGCAAAGTGGGGGTCATAAACACCTACTTTCTCCATGCAAACTAAAAAACACCCACTGACCGACTCCATGGTGCTGAGACAAGAGCTAGTGGACAACGACCCCAATTCTTGTAGTGTGAAAATGGCGACAACCCAAAACATGGTATGCAATCTTGGACCCCAACTCAACACACCCAAATGCATGCAGGGACTTCCAAAAAATACCGACTTCCAGCAGCCTCAAACAGACATGGCTCGACTGATGGCCAACTTGGCCCAATCAGCAGATTCTTTAATCAAATGGTCATCAGATGACAAGCATTCATTTAAAAAGTCTCTGCTTGAGACAGACTGTTGAATCAAGGAAGCTGCATTACTACCCAGTGTATCAGCTAGATCTCCCAGTACTCCAATTGCAGTCTTAGTCACTGTATCGTCCCTGCAAATAAATAAATAAACCAATAAAATGGTCAGTAACTAAAGATTGAAGACATGAAGGAAACATGAAACCAATATGCAAGGCCTCCGAGAAACTCACATGTCTTTCTCCATGTACAAGCTATCCAAGAACTGGATGATGTGAGGGGCATAGGGCATCAGCAGCTGTGTCTTGGGAGAATTCTTGAAGCCTTGGAAAATCCCCGAGTATGCTTCCAAGATCCCATTTCTTAGAAGATTGGTATACTCTATTATTTCATCATCAGCACCAGATGCATGGGCAGACAGTTCAGCGGCACTCTGGAGCATGGGCATCGCATACATCAAGTACTTCTCAAAATTTTCTCCAATCGCCAGGGCAATGTCACCAAAGCATGAGAATATAGGAGGCTTCACAGTCCGATGCAACTGATTGCTTGACAAATCCTTGAGGAGTTGTGTCATGATGCCATCACAGTATGGAAGTACCTTATCCTCCAATGCCCTGCATATATCCCCAACTACACCAACTGTGACAGCACAGACCTGATACTCTTCAAAATTCTGAAGACCCATTTCAAAATACTTGTAAAATTCTTGCATGTACTTGGCAAATTCTTGGCCTGTTGCATAAGCAAAGGCTCCAATGGCAAGCATTGCCTCTTCATGCACAGTGGCACTTCTGCAAGCAAAAACCCTCAAGAAGAGGCTCATCATCTGATCAGCATATTGCATGAACACAGACTTTGTTGGCTCAGAGGCCCCCAACTTCTGTATAATGACCTGCAAGCACCCACAGAGAAGACCTTGCAATTCATTCTGCTTTTCCTTTTCATCAGATGAAAGTTTCTGGGCCTCTAGTGTCTGATGGAGTTCCATCATTATGAGAGGAACTAATTGCACCACCAACGGAGCTGTCTCATCTGTTGAACACCTCACAACTTCATTTAGAGTTTCATAAGCAGCAGTCCGGAGGCGGGATTCTCCAGCATCTTCTCTATGTGTCACATTRAGAAGGGCCTGAACAATTTCCTGGAAAAAAGGTGTTAKKGGGGAGGATGATGAGCCTRCATCCTCATAACCTTGGGCTAGGAAATAYAGAGCACCACATGCTTTCTCAGCAACATTSGGARCATCTTTCATGCTCTGAAGWAGMACTGTTATAATYTGTTGACAGTTTGCATGGGTAATGATAGGTGTCTCCAYTGTYGAGCCATGAAGGAATTCAAAAATTCTTCCAAGGGTCCATGCAGTAGTGTCCTTCACATGGTTGTTTGGGTCMTTAGTCAATGCACTGAGCATAAAGTTTAGRGCAACATTAACRATAGATGTAAGYTTCTCTGGYGTTGGACCCTCCAAGATKGAACCAAARGCATAAGTGGCTGCCTCCCTCTGTCGCCAATCWGGTTTTGTTATRTTCTCTTCAATAAAAGGCATAACAAGTGGAACAATATCATCTCCCACAGTCCTTGCRACCAAMCCCAAACATGTACCCCCAGCCATKGCRAGGTTCCATGCCCCTTCATCCTGATCCTGATCCTCTTCTTGCTTAAGGAGTGTCTCCARTAACAWAGGSACRAGAGCRGGGAGAGCCTGCTTAAYAAAATAAAAGCAAGTAGTTTCAGARTCACCRCTTAAATCACCTCCATATTCYTCTAAGATGTCTATCTCCTCATCACAAATTGAACTCCARAAYTCAACAGCTTGAAGMGCAACAGGCTCCTCRTCYTCCCTCACAGCTTTTGCTGTAATGTTAAAAATGGCCTGCATRTAAGGRGATAAYTTKTCGTAATARGTCGARGAAATAGAAACCAGACAYTCAAAAGCTGCTTGCCTAATCTTTARCTCTGGGGACAARGTTGCCTCACAGACAACTTTCATGATATAGTCRCGCTCCATATCATTGGTGAAATTAGCATGAGCAAATCCCAGAGAATTATACAATGCTCTTGTGGCAGCAAGCCTGATATCATTGTTCCCTTCAGAAGCATTCATACCCTGAACCACAGCTGTAAGTATCTTATTTACTTTATCTTGATCTACAACATCTGGAGAGACTTCTTCACACAAATACCCTAGAGTCTCAAGTGTGGCCTGTTTGACATGATCGGGAACCTGATGGATGTTGTTTGACAAGAGAGCATCTATCAGCTCAGGCCACTGATTATGCGGCAACTCAATTCCAGCAATCTTTGCAATGACTTGAGATGCAGTAGACCGAGCATCAGGTACAGGAGAAGAAAGGGTCTGTAACAAGCAAGTTTTGATTTGGGCTTTCACAGATGAGTCCAAGGACAACCATCTTTGAACAAGCTCAAACTTCCTATGTTGCTCCTTGGCATCCAAGGCATTCTTGAGGATCAAACCAGCTAACTTACGGCTATCAACAGGCTTATCATCATTTGCCAATTCCCCAGATAGGGATAACAAAAAACTAGGAAGGTTTTGCTCCTGAAACTGCTTCAAGCTTTCTTCTGCATGCTTCCGTACTGTGCCATCAACCGCTTGGGCATTCAAGAGAACCTGAGTGACTTCCATTGCCATCTTGTATCTGTTAAAAACACAGATGCAAAACTTATAAGTAAGGTTTGACAAAAGCCACTCATTGGTTATCCAAAAAGAAAACAAAAATGTTCCATGCTAGTTAACGAAGTAAATCACTCCATACAAACTCAACCAAGTATCAAAATCACAAAACTTGACGAAAATTATATTTCTTCCTTGAAAAAAAAAATATCCATTGCAATATGTGATCACACGAGTGGAAACATTTTAGAATCATGAAAGATCATAGATCTGGATAATTTTGAAAATAGGGAAAATCATATAGAAAAATAGAAGAGAAAGAGAAGCAGGCGAGAGGTGATCAAATCGATAATGCTAATGAAATCTTTCTATGACGTTTCAGCCTATAAGTTTTTTTCTAAAAATCAAAACCTGAAAGTCAATACTTGTGACTAAATCACTAAAAACCAGATCAGCCGCAGATCAGAATACATAAACCCAACTAAGGCGATTACTGGTATCAGAGAGCGGGATCAAAAGCTCTAAAATCTAAGTTCTACTCCGTTAGACGAATTAAAAACGAATAAAAGATTAAACCTGGACTAGACCTTTTACGGGCATTGATTATTTGCTATTTCAAACCTAAAACGACTACAAATGAGGTGTCCATACAAAAAAAAAAGTCAATTTTCTCTCCCTAACACATCGCCATCAAACGTTCAAAACCCTAACATCAAAACCCCTGAACTTGGAAAACCCATTAAGACCCCCAAAAAAAAGAAGCCCTAATTCAGAAGCTAAATCGAATCCATACATTAGACCCTAATTCGAGACTACGTAACCGATATCACAAAAATGGTGGTTCTTATAAAAATTTCAAATCGATAATTGAAATATTGTTCAGAAACAACGGATTTTCAAATGAGAACTTACAAAGGTTCGAATGAATCACGTATCCTTCTACACGATCAAGGGCGTCTCTCGAGTGAGAGTATTTGAAAACCCTAGAGAGGCAGCGAGGAAGCAGAAGAGAGAGAGAGAGAGAGACGAAGAAGCGAACGCGGAATGTATTTTTGAAAACCCTAATGAACTCTTTTTTTTTCTAAACTGCTGAGAGTAAGGACTGCAAGTCGGGCCGGGTTGCGTCGGGTTGAGATCAACCCTAATCCAAGTCGAAGTTTGAAATCGGCTTGGGTTCGACTTGGCCCGACTTCTCTATTCCTCTTGCGGTCTTGCCACACGTTCTCATCTCTCAAAGGTTTAGGTCAGTTCAATTTTAGCATTATCATATTGGAAAAGAACATATTTATCATATGGTTTAACGACATTTTACCTAGGGGTGAGAAAAAAAAATCAAAAAACCAAACCGATCGAAACTGAATTGAAAATCGATTAACCGAATTATTGGTTTGGTTTTAATTCGGTGTTTTTAAAAAATCGAAAGTATCGGTTTGGTTTCGATTAATTAATTTAAAAAACCGACAGTTAACCGAATCGACCGATATACATGTTTTTTTATATATTTATGTATATTATATATATATATTATAAATTAATATATACGCATTATATATAAAAATATATATTTATAATATATTATTTATTATTTAAAATATAATATTTTATATATATTTATAATCTTTTATTATATATTTATATATTTTTTAATAATAAATATTATAAAGTCAAAAAAAACGAAAAACCAATGAACTGAACCATCGGTAAATCGATTAATTTTGGTTTGATTCTGGTTACCGGTTTCCAAAAACTGGTACTACCGATTCGATTCACAAAAAAGGCCCATGGTTCGGGCCCGAACCATGAGCGCCCCTAATTTTATCTTTAAATTTGAAATTGTGGGCATGCATGTACGTCTTTATACTTAAACCAGCGGGGAGGGGACTGTAATGCACAGAAAAATGTGAAAATCTGAATAATTTTATTTACTATGGACAAATTTTTTAAACTAGCCCTCTAAGATTTAGTAAATTGAGTAGCTATATTCTTACCGACTGACCGTATTGTCTTAAAGTATTCTTAGTATTTCTGATAATTATTGCCATCCTTAAATCTTAACGAAGACACACGAAAAAGTAGTTTTACCCTTACATTAAGAAAGGGCATTAAATAGTAAATTACTATTTTAACCCTATATTTAATGGAACAGGCGTTGAATGAGAAGAACATCATCGCCTGCAACAACAGCTGCAACTTCGGTTCAGCAATGCCCTATCTCTATCGGGATTATGATTGTTCAAAGAAAAGGCATCGTTGCCCTCTTGTTTGGCGTTTCGACTACTATACTAGGACAAACACTATATTCCACCACGGTTTGATGAGGGACACGGTCTGACAAGGAATAGGTAGGAATGAACGAGGAAGGGAGAACCAGAGAGAAATGAGAGAGGGGGAAGAAAGTGAGGGGAGAACCAGAGACAAAACATGCCTTTTAATTCCATTGGGGAATCTCAAACGGAAGAAGCAAAGACAGCAAGGCTACAAACTTTCTTTCCTCCTCTACCATCGTCGCTGCAACTTTTTTTCCCTTCTTCTTTATCTTCTTTATGTACAACAAAACACCATAACCAAGGCTTGCATCGTTGGGCTGGGGAAAAATGGTCGTCGACTTGCATGTAAACCATGGCAACATCGGCTGGGTTGCTTAACAGCAAAAGGCAGCTTGGGTGATTTTGACAAATTACGAAAATAAATCATGTTTAAAGAAGCTTAAAAGAAAATAACTAAAGCCAAAATAAACAAGAAGACCAACTTTTCACTGAATACTTAAGAGAAAATCAAATGAACTCCCCTATTATTACCCTAGCTACTCTTTATATAGACTTATTCACACCCTTATGCCTCCTACAAGAAAGTTTCCTAATTTAATAAAAGAATACTCTTTATTACAATCTTACTAAATCTCTTCAAAAACCAAAGTCCTAATGAATACAAATTCAGAAATCACATTTTAATGATAACTTGGTAAATACAAACTAAAATACAAACTCTTCGATTACACCAACTTGGTACACACAAACTAAGATGGATTGTTGAAGCCAACTTAATAATGATTTATTCACTTAATTCGAATCATATACTGCATCAGATTTTGATCCCAACTGAAACACAGATGGGATGCAAACCAATACATGGTGTAGGTATGTACAGTTCATCCAGACCCTCAAAGAACACTCAGATACCAAGAGTAATGTCACAGAAGCACTCACGATCCGCTTGTAATAAATTTCCGCGCTGTGATGAACCTACAGTACACCACCACCTTTGCGATGAACCCATAAAGCATTAAGCAAAACTGCGATAAACCCACGGCTCACCAAGTTCGGTTAACACCGAACCTAAATAAACCTTAGAAAAACCCGTCCAAGAGACCCAAACATACCTAAGTGTGTGATGAAGCCACACCCGCTATAACGTGCGATGAACTCACGACCTTCGAGCTTGGTTTGGATAACGGGGTGAAAATAATAGTAGGCCAAGCCCACGGTGTGGCCCGCATGTACCAGATGCACGCAAGCCCGAGACAACAAAGGACTTTGCAAACCGCCATGTAGAATTGACGAAGTACCACTGAACGATGACATCACTATTGCCACTTAGGATTAGTCATGACGCGCAAAAAGTAGTAGCACACTCAAAGAATGAGGAATCTCAAGGATAAGTAAAGCCAATCCTTAAGAAGATCCTCATAAAACACATGGCGATGCCTCAGTATCACACCTAATGAATGACAGCGAATCAAATATTCCCTTCCACAATATGGAGCGAATGTCTTAATCTTCTACCTTTTAAGATTTGGGAACCTCCTCCATAAATAAAGATCATCCTCGCATTAGAATGCATTCGATCCTAAGCATTTGTCACTAACACTTTCATTTTTCTAAACCATCGACCTAAAGGCCTTTGCCTTACCTCATCCTCGAGGCCTCTCTTCGTCTTTCAAAGAAACCACCCCCCAGCCTAGTCTCACATCCCCATCCTACACATGACTCCCCCAAACTCCTCTTCCCATCTTCTCTCATTCTCTCTCTCTCTCCTACTCTCTCTTTCTAGTTGTCTCTCTCTCTCCTCTAACTAGCTAATACTCGAGAATACAGATTGTTCACCTTCGTCTTGAACCTCTGGACCGAGCAACATAGCAGCGACAAAGCAGAAGTGAAACCCCATCCCTTCAATCTTTCCTCCCATATTTTTCTCTCATTCTCTCTCCCTGTCCATTTTCGTCCAACAGGATAATATCCCCAAAAACCTACTATTCATCGTCTTGTTCATCGGAGAACCAGCAGCGACAAAAAACAAAACTAGTAGTGTCGGTGACATTTCTACAATCTCTCTTCATCTTCCGTCTTTTTTTTTTCATTTCTCTGTCCACTTCCATCTTCTCACTAGTCTATTACTACAATCTCCATCACCGTTCTTCTTACTATTTTCCTTTGAAGTGCATCTTGTAATTAGCTCTTTGCCAGCGAGCTCTCGCGCTCAATGATGAACAATGGCCAATGGAGGAAAAGAAAGATGGAAAGGAAATGGGGAAACATAGGGAAGGAGAGAGAAGACCGTGATCCATCTTTTGAGGCTTTGGGACATGTGGTAATTGTCAAAGGGTATTTTAGGTTTAATTTAACATTAAATCAAATACGTGAAGTCACGTATAAACGGTCTATGACGGAGGCTTAACGGGAACTTGGAAAGGGAGCTGTGCGTTAATTATTAGAAACAGTAGGGGTACTTTAAAACAATATTAAAACAGTAGGGGTATAGTTTGTCAATTTCCTAAACCTTAGGGGTAATTTAAGAAATTTGCCATTAATTAATTTGTAAATTAATAATCAAAATTTGTTGTTAATTAACTAAAAGTATTTAAAGTTATTGTTAATATTTAAAATTTTAATAATTGTATTTTCATTTAATGTTGATTTATATAAAATAATAATTATTATTTTAATATGAACAAATGTTTTTCAATAAATTTAATTTTATTAATCATTTATAGTAATTTTAATAACTATTATTATTTTTAAATGAAATTATGGTTGATTTTAAATAAACAAAAATAATTACAAAAGCTAACATTTCTACTAATTTCATTAATAATTAACAATTATATAAGAAAGGCAACAGAGTGGGTTTGGGGCGGGGCACCCCATCCCTATCCTCGCCCCATAGTCAAGACACTCTACCCCTTCCCCGTCTCGTCCCTAGTGTCAAACGGGTTTAGGGGAAGGCACCCACTCCCTGTTAAGGACGTTGGATCCTCAAATTTTCCCACTTCATCCTCAGTGTTGAGCAAGTTAAAGGCAAGGCACCCACTCCTCATCAAGGATGAGGAATCCTTGAATTTTCCCCACCCCGTCCCTAGTGTTGAATAGGTTCAAGGCAAGGCACCCCCTCTCCGTCAACCCAATATTCAATTTGATGACAAAAATGATCAAAAGGATATACTTAATATCAACCACAAGTTAAAATTCTATAAGTACACTAAATCGTCTTTAATTTGTAAAAATATAATTTTATGAATTTTTTTTACATTTGTGTAATTTTGAAAAATTATTCAAATTTATTCTTAAATTATTATTATATAATTTACTTTCTTTTTAAATGATTTACTTACAGAGTTACACTAATTTATCTTATATTTTCTAATATAAACTAATCGATAATTTCCTTTTTCCAATATTATACTAATTTATCTTAATAATTTGTGTAATTATTAGTTCAAATTATAGTTTTCCCTTTCCCATACTCATTTATCTTTATTAATTTTCAATAATTTACAATGAAAATTAGGGGTGAGCAAAAAAAAATGAAAAACCGAACCAACCAAAACTGACCCAAAAAACCAGTTAACCCAACCGGTCGGTTCGGTGTTTTTAAAAAACCTAAGGTACTGATTCGGTTATGGTTAACCAATATAGGAAATAGGCAGTTAACCGAACCGACCGGTATACATATATTTCTATATATTTTATATATGTTTATGTATATTATATATATTTTATATATTATAAATTAATAAATATGCATTATATATATAAATATATTTATATTATATGATATATTATTAATTATTTA